GCAGAAAAATTAACAACTTTTTATCAGAGCTGGAGGAGACTGCTACATTTCTGCAGGGGTTTCCCCTTTAGCAGAGTGAAGCAAAAGCAGCAACATCTTGGGCCAGAGAAGAAGCAGAGCTCTGCTGGGAAGCCCCCTTAAGTGGGGGCTAAGCAAAACTCAGCTGTAGCAGCTCTTCAGGAGAGGAGCAGGATTGCTATATCCTGGGGTGGGGGGAGACCATCCCCCACTGCACCAGGTATAGCCTGACTCCTGAACAGTCAGGATACCTTTCCCCCAGAGTTGCAACACACTCGCCTACAGAGTTGTCTAAAGAAGAAATACAAATGGCCAATAAATATTTGTGTTTAACGTGCTTAGCTATTAGGAAAGTGTGTATTAGAACCACTTAAATGTTTTTGAGATTTTTATTTATTTTTATATTATGTATATGAGTATTTGCCTACCTGTATGTAGTGCCTGAGGAGGCCAGATCCCCTGGGACTGGAGTGATCAGATCAGATTCCCTTGAACTGGGGCTATCGACAATTATTAACTGCCATGTGGGGGCTGGAATTTGAACCCAGGTCCTCTGGAAGAGCACCCAGTGCTTTAACCACTGAGCCATCTCTCTAGCCCCCAGATTCAAACCACTCTGAAATTTCATCTTGTCCTAGGCAGCTGTTTTCCACATGGGTGAAAGTGACCTTATTAACTAAGCTGCAGCCGTTCACTTCTACCCTACAGCGTCTGTGTGGTCTTGGCCAAGGAAGGGTGTACCTTAGCTGAAAAGGGGCATGCTAGAGCCAAAACAGGAGGTTGAATTTCCTGGAACTCGTTAAGGATGTTTATGAATCACCAGGTTGGTGCTGAGAACTGAACCAGGGTCATCTGCAAATCCACGTGGTCTTAACTGCTGAGTCCTTTCTCCAGCCCTGATTAGCAAGTTTTGGGTACAAATTTTGATGTTATCTGAAGCCTGTCCTATCGAGTTCTGCACATCTAGGGAAAAAGTTACTGATTAATAAGTTTAACAAGCTGTATCTTTGCCTCTGTGAACAGAAAAGAAGCTGTGTCTGCAGAGGCTGACTGGTTGGAAGTGCGGTGAGGGGGCTGAAATGCGGCAGGGATGGAGCCTAACTACCGTATTTGGGGCTAGCTTTATTCCTAAACAGCCGTTCTTTGCCCGCTTGTGTGTCAGAACTATGGTTAATAGATAACACAGATAAAAACCTTTCGGAACCTATTAACTTAGCAGACCACTGTCTTCCACTAACCCAAACGCTCGTATGTATCTGAGGCCTAGAGGAGAGATTACCCCATATTTCTGTAACCTGATGTATCCATCAACGTGTTTTAAACTTGCCTTGACTGACCTGTGCCAGCAGGTCGTTCTTCAGCGACAAGTCCTATGGGGATCGTGGAATGGGACCATGGCATGACCATGGCATGAGAAAATAAAGAAGACAACAAATTTGAGATTAGGATGTCTCACCCAGGCTGATGGCTCAGGCAAGCATGTTTAGTGAGAAGTGCAGCATCTTGTACACAGTCCGTAGGGGCAGGAATGGGCCAAAGTCAGCAGAAAGCTAAGCAAGTAATGTTGCATAAGGGGGACACGGAGCATCTCAAGCGTGTCAGGGACCAGCACACAACGGTCTCGGGACTGATAAATCCAGTCTCTTCAGGGAAAAGCCACATTTCCATTCTTAACTCCTTTAAGGCCCTGACCCTAGACTGAACCTTGCCAAGCCTGGCCCTGGGCAAGGACACAGAACTAGGTTCCACTTCTCTTTCACCAGGGCCTCGGAGAAAGGCTCAGAATGACCTGACTCTCAAAACTCGGGTTATGACTTTGTTCAGTTATTGTAAAATGTCATGAGACTAATTTCAAAGGGAACGTGGAACCTGGGATAACTTAGTTCCATGCTTTCTGAGCCATGGTCAGTCGAATTTGGTTCTAGAATAAACTATCTCCTGTTCTCTTTGAGATGAGAGGTGTGTTTCTTGTGTTGAAACCTAAGATGCTGAAGACGTCTTTCACTGTGGACCTGGTGGAGACAGTGAAAACCGGAGTTTTGAAGCAGTGGGTGTTTCAGTCAGAGGAGAAATCTGTGGCCAACTTAGTGAGATCCTAATGGGTGACCTTTGGAAACAAGTGATCTCTCTCTCTCTCTCTCTCTCTCTCTCTCTCTCTCTCTCTCTCTCTCTGTGTGTGTGTGTGTGTGTGTGTGCGCGTGCGCGCGCGCACGCAGGATATGTGTGCATGCCTGTTTGCAAGAGTGGAGGCCACAGGTTGTCATCGGCTGTCTTCTTCAACTGCTTCTCGTTTTATTTATTGAGGCGGGGTCTCTCTGGACTGGGAGCTCTCCTGATTCACTAATCTAGCACGTCAGGGTGTCTCTTGAGTAGTGGGATTATAGGTGGGCTGGTGTGCCTGCTCTGTTTTTCTGCAGGTGCTGGAGATCCAAACTGTGGCCTTCAGTCCACTGAGTTATCTCCCCGGCTCCTAACACTAGTGATCCGCCTGCCTCTGCCTCCCCAGTGCTGGGACTAAAGGTAGGCACCACCACTTTGAAATTAGGGATTTTTAAAGCTAAAAACAAGCAGAGCTCAAGGGAGACTTTACTCAGTTTTTCCTTATTTGTCTTTAGTCAAGTTCCTACTGTCAAAGAGAATTCCCGGAAAGGAGCTGTGTGCGCGCAAAGGTTGGTGTACTGATTAAAACTTCGGGCCGGGCGGTGGTGGCGCAGGGGGGTTTCTGCGTTCGAGGCCAGCCTGGTCTACAGAATGAGTTCCAGGACAGGCAGGGCTACACAGAGAAACCTTGTCTCCAAAAACAAAACAATAACAACAACAACAACAAAAACAAAACCCAAAACAAAATTTCCACGGATGTGGGGGTTTGGAATTAGGTCTGGGATTTAATTAATTAAACTTTCTCTCAGAGTGTCCTTAGCCTCCTGCTCACAAAGAGCTATTGCTTGCCTACCACCCAGCCATAATAATAATAAACATATAAGGAAAAAAATCTAAACTTTAGGAAGGTATTAATTTAATAAAACACTATTCCCTACCTATGGGCTGAGATGTCAGGTCTCAAAGAGCCCAGGACAAATGGCTGGCTGAGGTGCTTACTGACATATCAAAGTGACCTTTGTCCTGCTCTTCCCCCAGCATCACTCAGTACCCATGTGTAGTCCCTCCCAGCCCTTCTCACTCCACTCTCTACCCTTCCCTTCTCCCAGCTTCTGATCCTAATACAATGCAGCCATTTTTGGACATGGGCTCTCTTGGTCTCTTGGCTGCCTCCTCTCCTGGATCTCTCTTTTTTTTTTTCTTCTTTCTTGATTTTTTGAGACAGGGTTTCTCTGTGTAGCTTTGGAGCCTTTCCTGGAACTCACTCTGTAGCCCAGGCTGGCCTCAAACTCACAGAGATCCTCCTGCTTCTGCCTGCCGAGTGCTGGCATGTGCCACCACACCTGGCCCCTTGCAATTTATTTTTTGGCATTGCTCCACCACTGCCTAGAGGTAGTGCACAATTTTAATCCCAGCACTCAGGAGGCAGATGGATCTCTGAGTTCAAGGCCAGCCTGGTCTACATTGAGAGTTCCAGGACAGCTGGGGCTACACAGAGAAACCCTATCTTGGAGGAGGAGGAGGAGGAGGAGGAGGAGGAGGAAGAGGAGGAGGAGGAGGAAGAGGAGGAGGAGGAGGAAGCAGCAGAAGCATAAGCATGAGGATCCAAGTTTGCTTCCCAGCATCCATGTGAAAACTGGGTGCAGTAACCCTATAATTCCAGTGTTAGAGAGGCACAGATAGGCAGTCCCTGGGGCTTGCTGGTCACCCAGTCTCCCCAAATTGTTCAGCTCTATGTTCAGTGAGAGACTCAGGCACAAAACAATGAAGTGGGGAATAATTGAGGAAGACATCCCACCTTCACCTCTTGTCTCCACATGCATACACAGATGCGTGCGCGCGCACGCGCACACACACACACACACACACACACACACACACACACACACACACAGAAATTTGAAGCTGGGTAGCAGGGCCCCCAAAAGAGTAAAAAAAAAAACAACCCAAACAAACCAACAACACCATCCTAATGCTGTGACCCTTTAATACAGTTCCTCATGTTGTAGTGACTCCCAACCATCAAATTATTTTCATTGCTACTTCATAACTGTAATTTTGTTACTGTTATGAATTTCAATGTAAATATTTTTGGAGATAGAGGTTTGTCAAAGGGGTTGTGACCCACAGGTTGAGAACTACTGTCCTAGACCCTTACTCTATAGAACCCATCTTTATGGTAGAGGTCACATGTACTTTGCAAAAATGTTTCCATGTAGTCATGCCTTGAGCTTTATTGTGCACATGGGATTGAGATAATTACTACTAGGAAACTATTTTTCAAAATTATTTTGTACTTAACTATGTCTGAAATAAACTGACCTGGTGTCAGACTCTAGAAGATGAACCAGGACTAAGTTGAATTTCCCTTCTTACCTTACCCAGACCCTTTCCCTGACAGCTGTGACACTGGCAGGGACCCCCACAACAGTGGAGTCAGTTCTTCCCGAGCCTGCTTGGTGTTCAACCCCAGAACTCAAAGGTTATTCTTTGTGTTCCCTTATAGCCATCCTGCTCCGTCTCCTCCTGGTTGCTTTCCATTGCACCTACAACAAGTGTCCCCAGTTCCCCTGCTTGCTTCTCAGCTACCCTCCTCTCATAGTTACATGGGGTCTATGCATACCCACCCTTAAAGATTTATTTATTTTATTTTATGTGTATGAGTGTTTTGGCTGCATGTATGTATGTGTGCCATATGTGTGCCCAGTTTCCATGGAGGTCAGAAGAGGGCATCAGATACAACAGAACTAGACTTTTGGATAGAACTGGACTTCAGTTGTGAGTGTCCATACGGATGCTGGGAATAGAAACCAGGTCCTCTGCAAGAGCAGCTGTTGTTCAAATCTTAGATGGTCTTTTAATAAAAAACCCAGAGCCAGATATCAGTGTGAAAGCCAAAAGATCAGAGAAACAGAGCAGCCAGATACTAGTTCTTCCCTCTACAAAATCCTCAGGCTAAATAGAGAGAGTTCCTGTTTCCTCACCATTTATATACCTTTCTCTGCCTTGCCATATTACTTCCTGGGATTAAAGGCATGTGTGCTTCATAAGCAAAGGCATGAGATCTCAAGTGCTGGGATTAAAGGTGTGTGCCATCACTGCCTGACCTCTAAGTCTAATCTAGTGGCTGGCTCTGTCCTCTGATCCTCAGGCAAGTTTATTAGAGTATGCAATATATCACCATATTTCCCCCTTTTTTGTCTAAAATAATAAAAGGTTATAACTAATATAAGAAAAACTATATATAAGTACAATAAGTATATGCAATATATATAGTCAAGAATTATATTAACAATGTCCAGTCCATTAACATTTGACAGATTCAGAGAAAATACTCCATTATTTGTTCTATTTTGGTGAGTCCAAAATGTTATATACCTAATTCACTTTCTATCCTAACTTGTATTACCAACCCAAAACTATCTTTTGATGTCTTTCAAACTTATACACTTTACACCTCTTTAGTGAGTTTCTTTTCTGAATTTGTTAGCAAGGAAAACTATAACTATCTAATCTTCAACTCCATTAGAGACCCAAAAAGGAAATAATATTACCTAAGTAAGTAGGAAGTGTAAACAAGCAACTTCCAAAAAATGTGAGAAATTACAGAAACAGCTGGCTGCCTGGACAGTCACCCAAGATCTCTCTGCAACACTGGGGCATCCATCTTCAGCCTACAGACCTAGCATATCTGAAAGACTCATCTGTGAAGCAGGATTTTCTGAAGGGTCTTCCTACTTTGTCTTGGCAAAGTTCGGCAGTCCTTTCTTTTGTGTCCTGCTTGTCCATTTTGAACAGCATACTGTCAGCAGTCAAGGCAAGGGCATTTTTTTTTTTTTTTTTTACCAGGTGGCTAACTTGTCACAAAGAAAGTAAACTCCATATGGAGTTTCTTTAATGCCCATCATCTTCTCTGAAGTTGATTGGTGCTGCCAGGAGCAGACATGTCTCATTGTCATAAAAAAGAAAAAAAATCTATGTATTAAAACATCTTAAATACCATATTCTGCAGATATCTAAAGTGTTTGAAGATCTGTATATCTAAAATATATTTTTGTTTGACCTTGAAAACATACCTAAGTTTGATTGTAATGACTAACTGCTGTGGGATGTTCTGTATGGCAAATGTGTTGCTCTGATTGGTTGGTAAATAAAACACTGATTGGCCAGTAGTCAGGCAGGAGGAAGTATAGGCGGGACAAGGAGGAGAATAAAGCTGGGAAGTGAAAGGCTGAGTCAGAGAGACACTGCCAGCTGCCACGATGAGAAACAGCATGTGAAGATGCTGGTAAGCCACGAGCCACGTGGCAAGGTATAGATTTATAAAAATGGATTAATTTAAGCTGTAAGAACAGTTAGCAAGAAGCCTGCCACGGCCATACAGTTTGTAACTAATGTAAGTCTCTGTGTTTACTTGGTTGGGTCTGAACTGCTGTGGGACTGGCAGGTGAGAGAGATTTGTCCTGACTGTGGGCCAGGCAGAAAAACTCAAGCTACAACTAACTACTAACTTGCATTTCTTTATTATCCTAAATAGTTGGTAATAACTTTCAAGGACTAGAAAATTGTATTACATTGTTAAATGAGCTGTATAGTTACAATATCTTGAACAAGAGTAGAAATGTACAGTATTTTCTAACAAAATCAATCTCAAATTTGTATCAATATACAAAATTTGTATACAATATACAAAAATCCAACCCAATGTAAAATATTTAAAACTAGTAGTTGCTTTTTAAAAGTTGATTTAATAATCTACCTTTTTTATCTTATCATATCCATATTCTCTTTTTTTTTCTTTTCGGAGTAGATTCAATAAGCTTCCCTTTTATCCTATCATTTCTTATTTTTTCAGAGTGGATTTAATAATCTACCTTTTATCTATATCCTCTTTTTTTCTTTTTCCTTTTTCAAACAAGAACCCTGAATCTAATCTCCTTTATTTAGCTTTTTTACTGACCATTATCAATTAACAACTTGTAACCAACCATCCTAAACAATGACAATTATCCATAACCCATTGAATGACCAAAATCACCCACTCCACCTCTTGGGAATGTGGGCGACATGTTCTTAAAATTACTTCCTGCTGTCTGGGGGCAAAGGCATCTTCAGGGAATCCTGAATAGGAAGTTTTTTGGTTGTCAAGTCCTGGGAGAGGTAGCTGTATCATTTGTTGTCCAGTCTCTGCATAATGGGAAAGTGCAGAGCTTGTCTCAAGTCCTTGCTCAAGTGATCTGTGAGGCTGGATCATCTCAGCTAGCCATCTTGAAATTGTCCTGAGCAGTTTGTAGTCCAAAGCTGATCTTTAGGTGGTGTTTGTCAGCTTAATTGCATTGTCATAATCAATGTGGAATCATTGTTGTGGGGTCCCATCATCTTTTTGGAGACTTCAAAGGTCGCTGTTAGTTATGGTCATGGTTCACTGCAGAAAACCTTTTTTTGTGGGACATTTTTTCTGGATGATTTGTCCTTTTTCTTCAGATGTCTCATTTGTCCAGTGTTCTTCAGATTCCTTAGCTGGATGTTTTTATTTTCCTGAAAGACAAAAACAAAACCCTTCCCCAACCATTAGATCTGGGGAGTTTCCAGATCTAATCTTTATCAATTTTCATTTATGGTTTCTGCATAGATTTTTATTTTGTAAAGCTGTTCTATCAACCTGAAGTGTTGATTTTGGAGTTACAAGTAAATGTGAGTAGGCTAGCTGACAAACACAGACTCTTCAAGAACAGCCCACAGACTATGCTGAGAAGAACACCAGATCAGTTCATCGAACAGTGTATTTCTTTCTTTCTTTCTTTCTTTCTTTTTTTTGAGACAGGGTCTCTCTACATAGCTCTGGCTGTTCTGGAACTCACTATATAGACCACGCTGGCCCCAAACTCACAGAGATCCACGTGCCTCTGCTTCTCAAGAGCTGGGATCAAAGGTGTGCACCTCCACACGAGGAATGATTCACAAGCCAGGTATCATTCATAATCAAAAGAGGCTCAGAGAACTCAACAATATTTATAGACCGAACAATTGAAAGAAAGTACATAAATAGTGACAGGCAAGCAGTTGCCTTATTTGGACATGGTCTGAACAACTGGAAAATGCTTATGATTGACTGAGATATGGCTGTTATAAAAAATATACATAGTTAATGTGTGGTGGCATATGCCTTTAATTCCCCAGCACTCAGAAGGCAGAGGCAGGAGGATCTCTGTGAATTCAATGCCAGCCTGGTCTACAGAGTGAGTTCCAGGAGAGCCAATACCAAACAGAGAAACCCTGTTTCGAGAAACAAACAAAAAACTAACCACCCACCAAAAACCAGTTTATATATATATATGTGTGTGTGTGTGTGTGTGTGTGTGTGTGTGTGTGTGTGTGTGTGTGTGTATATATATATATATATATATATATATATATATAGAGAGAGAGAGAGAGAGAGAGAGAGAGAGAGAGAGGGAGAGTTATGTTAGGTTTTTTTTTTGGTCAGGGTCTCACTTTGTAGCTTGGAACTTCCTGTATAGACCAGACTGGACTTGAATTTGTTTCAAGATCTATCCATCAGAAAACAACACACAGACAACCCTAAAGCCGAATAGATAGTCTGTATTACTGGCCTGAGGCCACACAGGGAATTTGCCCAAATCATGCAGCCCTGATCCTCACAGTTCTTTGTCTTTTATGCATAAAACCGAATCCTGGGGTTGGGGATTTAGCTCAGTGGTAGAGTGCTTGCCTAGCAAGCACAAGGCCCTGGGTTCAATCCTCAGCTCAAAAAAACAAAAACAAACAAACAAACAAAAAAACTGGATCCTAGTTGACACACTTCAGTTAGCAAGAACAATTTAGCAAGAAGCAGAACTACAGAAGCCAAAAGGCAAGGTGAGCACATTTAGGTGCTTTCCTGGATCCTGGCACTGGGGCCAGGTCTTTGATGTTTTAGGTCTTTTTACCCTTTTTGGCAGGTGTTGAGTCCTATGTGTTGGGTTTAAGGTCAGAATGGCACCTCTAACATGCGGTCAGTTGGGCTAATGTCTGGGGGGCTTTGCAAAAATTCAGAGACCCACCTGCTTCTGCTTCCTGAGTGGATTACAGGAGCTCACTGTCATGCCATTTGTTTTTTTGTTTTTAGACAGGGTTTCTCTGTGTAACCCTAGCTGTCCTGGAACTCGCTCTGTAGACCAGGATGGATTGAACTCTTTAGAGATCTGCCTACCTCTGCCTCCCAGAGTGAGGGGATTAAAGGCATGAGCCATTAAGCCGGGCTCTGACTTAATTTAAAAAAAAAAAACAAACACGTTATCCACATGTAGAATTCTGACTTTACTAGTGTACCTCGGGTTGTAGCTCACACACCGATTGTTGAAACTATCCTCTCTTAACAGATTCAGAACGTTTCTGACACTCCAAAGAATCCTCAGGCTTCTGAGTTTCCACTGTGGCCGACCCTTCCATTCCAGGCCTTCCCGCTCTCACTGTAAAGGGCGGAAGCACAGAAACAAACATGGAGTGGTGCAGATGCCAGGTTATAGGACTTCCTTCCTCCTGCTTGAGAAACTTCGCCTAGGTCTCGATCAGGCACTCCAAAGGCCCTATGAACGACTGGCCGCTAGGATCGCCGCGCACGCGCAGACGCTCTACGCCGCCTCCTCCCTCCGGTCCCCATAACCCGGCCCCGCCCCCGACGCCACGGCCCCGCCCCCGACGCCCGGGGCTGGGTACCCGGACCACAAAGCGCTCCCGCTCAGCACAGGCTTCAGTCGGTGGGAGCCGGTTCCCGTTGCGCTTTCCTTTGGGTCCGCTTCTGGAGCCATGTCTTCGGCTGCGTTGACGTCTCCGCGCCTGCGCCGGGTGTTCGTGGTCGGCGTGGGCATGACCAAGGTAAACAGAGCTGGGAGGCGCGGCGCGGGAGGTCTGCCCCTGTGATGCCCGCAGCCCCGAGGTGACAGGGAAGCGTGGTCAGGGGACGGTCGCCGTCTGCACTGCCGTCCCATCCCTCCTAGAGTCGCGTGGGCTGCAGAGAGGCCACTCGTGGGTTTATGGTGCTCCTCCTGGGGTCGCCGTGTCTCGGGTTTGTTCCCTCAGCTATTGTTTTCTTCCCCTTCCCGTTTCCCTTTTCTCTCTGCTGAGCCCGTGAAGGCGCCCCCAAGATAACCCAGACCTCATACTTCCTTAGATTCTAAATCCCGAGGTAGGCCGGCCGACCGGGCGGCTCACATCTGTCTGTAGTGTGAGCTTTCGGAGGTGCAGCCAGGACCAGGAGTTCGAGGTCATAGAGGATTATGTAGCAAGACCTTGTTTCACCAAAGAAAGCAAACCAAAACGACAGAAAAACATTGGGAGCTTGGACGGAGGCCAGGGCTGTGTGACAGAAAAAGAGGAGATTGTGAATGCCACCAGCTCTGTAGTGGCTATTAGTGCCCTTCTCAGATAGCAGCAGCAGGTGCGGATGTGGGTAGAAACAAGCGACGCTTGGCTCCTAATGCAGGTGCAGTTCCCTCCATCTTCTGACCATATTGCTGTTTCTCTGGTACTGAGGCGACCAGAACCTCCCATAGCCACCTCTCTCAATACCCTGACTCCCCTCCGTGCCCTAGTAATGCCAAGTTACCTGGAGCTTCTGACTTAACATTCTGCTGCTTTGCATCTAGTGGCACTACTTACATCAGCTGGCATCCCCTGGTTAACTTCTTTGTGCTCTTAAAGGGACAGATCTTGTCTTCTAGTAAACCCTTGATTATCTTGGCTTTCTCACGGAGCCTTGAGCTTAGCTCTAATTTACTTTGATGCACTGAAATTTTTTGTTTAGGTGTCTATAGTCTCCTAATGTATTACTACAGGGTGGGTACCAGGATTATTCACTACTGTATCCCCCACAATGATAATCCCTGCTGATCAATATTAGATGGATATACTTCGTGAAAGTTACTTGAGAGAATTTTTTTTCTGTGAAAAAACAGCCTTAAATTTTATATTATTATTATTTTTTCAAGACAGGGTTTCTCTGTGTAGCTTTGTCCTGGAACTTGCTCTGTAGACTAGGCTGGCCTCAGAATCAGAGATTCTCCTGCCTCTGCCTCCTGAGTGCTGGAGTTAAAGTCGTTCACCACCATTCCTGGCAAATTTTATATTATCTTAGTATCAGGCTGAGAGCATGCAATTCATTCAAAACATGTAAATAGAAAAGTTGACTAATATCTTGTAAAGCTTAGAGAGCAACGTACTGTTTTTTAGAGGGGGAGCTTTTGATACAAGTGGATAGTAAAAATTTCAAAAGTGTTTTCTAGCTTTAAAAAAAAAAGACAGTATCTTATTATATAGACCTGGCTGGCTTTAAACTTCTCCAGCCCTGGGACTGCAGGTGTTCTCATCCCCCCACCCCCGCCCCCTGCTAGTATGCTCCATTTTAAACAGTCTTCCATTGGTTGTCTAATGTCTGTTTATATGGACTGTATAGAAAAAAATAGGATATGCTTTTTTTTTTTCCATTTAGGAGGTTGAGGTGAAAGAGGCATTAATATTCCTTAGGGAGAGCCAGGCATGGTGATACATGCCTTTAATCCCAGCACTCGGGAGGCAGAAGCAGGAGGATCTCTGAGTTTGAGGCTAGCCTGGTCTACAAAGCAAGTTCCAGGAAAGCCAGGACTCTCTTACATAGAGAAACCCTGTCTCAAAAAACAAAACAAAACAAACAAAAAAATTCCTTAGGGAAGAGGAAAGGAATAAAAAATGGTTTCATCATTAAGCATTTATTCAGTATGGGTGCTCTGTGTTATATGTGAGCAAAGATGAGGGAAAAAAGCAAGATTGGGCTGGGGATCTAACTCACTTGGTAGAGTACTTGCCAAACATGCGTGAAGGCATGATTCCATCCCACTCTTGGGTAAACCAGACGTAGTGGTGCACACCAAAGTTCCAGCACTCAGTGGGTGGTGGCAGCAGAATCAGAAGTTCAAGGTCATCCTCGACTTTATATAGCGAGTTCAGAGCCAGCCTGGGTTACATAAGACCTTATCTTAAACAAAGACCAAGGCCTAGCAAGATGATCAGTGGGTAAAAGTTCGTTCCATCAGCCTTCACAACCTGAGTTTGATCTCTGGTCCTCATGCACTACTAGGAGAGTGCTGACTCCTCATATACCGCAGAGCAAGTGGGCCCCTGCACATACACATACATGCTTACTGCAGAGCAAGTGGGTCCCTACACATATACACACATGCTTACTGCAGAGCAGTTGGGCCCCTACACATACACACACATGCTTACTGCAGAGCAGGTGGGCCCCTACACATACACATACATGCTTACTGCAGAGCAGGTGGGCCCCTACACATACACACACATGCTCACACACTAACAAACTGAAGTTAGATTTTTAAAAACCCACATAAACAAACAAAAAAGAAAAAAAGAAAAAAAAAGATAATTTGGAATTTTTAGTTAAGCATGGAAGATTTAAAACTTGAACTTATATCTTGGTCCTCCCCTCCCCCAATCTCATTAAATCAATAAGTAACAGTGTGCATTGGAGCAGAAATTATAAGCAGAGATGCCAGAAAATACATAGAAGATTAAAAGCGGATAGAAGACCGGGCGGTGGTGGCGCACGCCTTTAATCCCAGCACTTGGGAGGCAGAGCCAGGTGGATCTCTGTGGACAGGCTCCAGAACTACAGAGAAACCCTGTCTCGAACCCCCCCAAACAAACAAACAACAACCCCCTCCCCCCAAAAAAACTAGCAACAACAAAAAAACTAAAAGCGGATCGAAGCCAGTTTGGTGGCACACTCCTATAATTCTAGCCTCTGCAGGTGGTAGCAGAATTATCACAAAACCCAACTACCACAAAAATTCTCAATGTGATACGGTGCTTCCTAGCTTTGTTCTTAGAAAACACATCCAAAAATACACTACCTTCCTGTCATGGGTTGGGGGAATTATTTGAAACGATTCCAGGGAAAAGTCAACTTGCTACGATGTTGTCTTCCAGTGAAGCTTAGTAGATGATAAGCTCTACTCATGCTCAGAAAGCATCCTTTAAACTTACAAAAAGTTTGTGTGTGTGTGTGTGTGTGTGTGTGTGTGTGTGTGTGTGTGTATGTGTAAGAGAGAGAAAGAGCGCTCAGATGACAACTTTATGGAGTTGATTTTGTCCTTCCATCTTTTTGTGGGCTATGGGAAACCCAGGTCACCAGCCTCGTGTGACAAGTCCCTTTACCTGCTGAATCATCTTGCCAGCCCTGTCCAAACTCTTTGTTAATTTTTAAATTAGTTGTTGGTACAGGGTATCCAGCCCAGTGCCTTGAGCTTGCCAAGAAAATGCTGTAGCACGGAGACAAGATCCTAATCTTCAAAGATAGTGAGTTTGAGGCTACAAGCCTGAGCTAATGTATAAGAGACCCTGTCTCAAAAAAACAACCTCAACCAACCAACCAACCAACAGGTAAAACACACTGAAATACTAACGGTGAGTGGGAGGTATTAATGTGAGTTTATGAGACCTTTCACCTTTTAAAAATATTCCTAGCTCTGTCACTTGAAGAGGCCTAGAAAAGTAGCCAAATCAGTGGTACTCTTGATGTTAAGACTGGGGTTCTGAAATACCTTTTATTTTTTCCAGAGAAAGTGTCTTATTTATCCCATTCTGGCCTCAAACTCACTATGTAGCTGAGGATGACTTTGAACTTCTAACCTTCCCGCCTCTACCTCCTGAATATCCAGATTACAGATGTGAGTGTCCTGTCCTGGTTGTGTGGTCCTGGAGGTGGAACCCAGGGCTTCATGCATGTTAGATACTCTACCAATTGAGTTATACCTCCAGGCTCCTAGGCCCCCAACCCCTGAAATCTTATTCTATTACGAGAACATGTTGGTTGGAGAAATTGCAAAGTCTAGGTGAGGTAAGAGATGATCAAGATAAGTTTGGAGAATTTTGTCATATTAATTGTGAAGAAATCAGGGTCCCCTTGGGTTATGTCAAGATTCAGGTGCCAACTTGACAAAGCTCTCAGTGACCAAAGCTAGGACAATTTGAACTTTGTGTGTGTGCGTGTGTAAGAGATTAAAGGACAGCCTCAGGTTCCATTCCTCAGGCTCTGTCTACCTTGTCCTGTTGTGATGGATTCTCCCTTGTCTCTAACTCACCAGGTAGGTAGGCGGCTGCCCAGTGAGCCCCTGTGACCTGTCTGTCTCTGCTAACCCTAGGGCTGGAGTCATAAGTAGGTGGCCACACTGGGACTTTTAAAGTATGCCCTCACATCCTCATGCAAGGCAAGCATTTTACCAGCTAAGCTGCTTCCCCAGTCCAACCATTTGACCTTTAAACATGATAATGGTTTTAATTGAATTAAAGCCAGTACATTGTGTCCAAATAATTCATTTATACCTTAAAAGCAAATCTTCGTAGGATATTAGTGAACCTATTCATTTCCTTAAAAACTGGTAAATAAAAGGAAACAATCACCTAGTTGTAGTTATTATCAATGATAAAACTCAAGTTCCTAGGAGAAAATTAGGAATCCTGTATCTGCTGGACAAATAAATATTATTGATGAGGTGAGTGGTGAGGTTGGGAAATTATATAGTATCAAATTTGGAAGAGATGTATAACTTGCAGAACTACCATTTTGTTTGATTTTTAAGACATGCCTCTGACTGTCCTGTAACTGGTTATGTAGATCAGGCTGGCCTTGAACTCAGAGATCTGCCTGCTTCTGCTCCTGAGTGCTGGGGCTGAAGGTGTGAGCCACTACACCTAGCTAGAATTACTGATGTTTTAATTTTATTTTACTTTGAGGCAGGATCTCATGTAGTCCAGGTTGGCCTCCAACTCCCTAT